TAAGTCCTATTGATTAGAGGAAAGATGCTAACCTTGGAGCAGAGACAGTTAACATTTCCTGTAGCTTTTAAACTTACTGAAGTGAAAGGACAGCAGATAGAATATCCCTTGTTCGAAAGGAAAAGAGAAAATTAAGGAAACTCACTGTTAGTCCTTAGATGCTTAAAGATTACAAAAGGGTAGCTTTTAAAACAGAGTAAAGTAATTTTCTCAGTTTTTATCTGAATGCCTCAACCTATCAGTAAACAAGTTCCAACCTCATGTCTCCATTCAGTTAGAAACCATTTGGGGAGAAAAGGAATTGAACAGATTTAATGGCCTTCAAAAGAGAATCCAAATAAGTCTTTTAAAAAAGAAGAGAGACTAGAATAGAAAGTCCTCCAACATGGTTTGCAAGGTGGGGAAAAAAAGGTGAAACAATAACAAACAACATCAACAATAACATGTAGAAACGATTGAGAGAGGCAATGCTTAATGTAATATACTGCCATGCAGGTAGGGTTAGGCCACTTGATGTGCCTTTAATTGGGAATATGCAAAACTCATTTTGTCCAACCTGGCTTCCCAGTTTGCATCCCAATTTCCAGAAATACTTAAAATACTTCCTCCCTCATTTCTTCCTATTTAAGCTTCCTTATCCTGGGTCATATTCCTTCAGCAGCCTGTTTTCTACTATATATAATTTGATAAATTCATTTAAGCTAAGGAATTAAAGGCTCAGAGTGATTTGTTAACTTCCGTGTGTGTGTGTGTGTGTGTGTGTGTATACACATATATATGCAGGAGACTTCAACAAAGACAATCCAATGGATGAAAGAATACTCTAAGTTGGTAATTTCAGGCACTGGCACAGGCCAACTAGAGAGCCATTGGGGAGCAGGGAGGGATTTCAGCATCTTCAACTCATACCATGGTATCTTACATATAGAGAAATTGGGCCATTTTAAAGTTGATAAACTGCACTAGAAAACACATACAGTGATGCAATAGGGTTAAAAGCATTGCATTAGTCAAGAAATTATAAGTTCAATACTAATTAAGTCTTAGGAGATGGGGGAATACATCTCCCAATAAAACACATTTCCTACCTGCTGTCCATAACACCACATAAGCAACACTTTTTTTTTTTTTTGGTACTTGCAGAGAAAGAAGAGCAAAAGGAATGTCTGGGAGGAGGAAGCTGTGAGTGGGCCACAGCTACCAGATCAAAGACCAGACCTAATGTCACCAAACGCAGAAACAATGTTCTTCTTGTTCTTCTCTTGTCAACCTACACTCACTCTAACCCTTGCCAAATACTGACCTCTCTATCATGAGGCTTGGCTAACTGAAAAAAATATGGTATGAGTTTCTAGTTTAAAAACACACAAAAACTGATGTTTCTTCATAATAGGGCAAGATATTGAATCAAGGATGGATCTATCAGGGAACCCTAAGAATTAAAGCAACTCTTTTGCCCAAGAGGAACAGGGTATTAAACAGAATGTGGAAACCACACAAACTATTTACATAAAGCTACTCATCCTTAAATGGGTATCCCCAGTGACATCAAATACAGAACTAAGCCTCTTATTTCACCTTCTAAGGCCATCTAGATAATGACATATCAATACACAGATATGATAGGGGTTAGCAGGACCTGTCCTTTCCTCACAAAATTGCTCTCATCACCCTGCTAACAGCTAAATGATCAAATAGTTCATATGGAAACTGACATTGGCAGCAAAAAAAAAAGTTAAATAAAAAATGTTTTAAAAGTCTCATTGCAAATTGAAAATAAAGACAAAATAGAACTGACACTTTTCCCAATAAGAATTTCTGTACAAAACATTCAGATAGCAGGGTGATATATTCCAAATATATACTTAGAGAAAAAACAAAAACATATAATTACGAAGCATTTTCCTTTCACTGTAACTTAGTTTATCCTGATCCTATCACAATACATACATACATCCTATAACAATACAAACAGCTATATGTCAGAGTAAAACTACTTTATATGAACCTGAAAATACTCTTTTGTCCTTTAGAAAAATCAATATTTTATGCATATATATAGATTATATATATATATATATGTTATATAGCTAGATATAGTTATACATACATACGTCCTGAGAAACCTGGAAACATTGCTGAAAATGCCACTTGTTTGCACAGATTTAACGGGTGGGGTTTTTTTGTTTTGTTTATTTTATTTTTTAAGATTTTCTAGAGCAGTTTTAGTTTCACAGTAAAACTGAGAAGATACAGAATGTCCCATATACCTCCTGCTTGACACACCACTAGATGGTACATTTGTTACAACTGATGAACCTCAATTGACACATTGTAACCACCCAGAGTCTATTGTTTACAATAAATTTCACTCTTGGTGGTGTACATTCTGTGAGTTTTTTTTTTTACACAAATGTATCCACCATGATAGTATCATACAGAACAGTTTCACTTCTCTAAAAATCCTCTGTGCTCTGCCTATTCATCCCTTCCTCCTCCAGACCCATATACTTTTTCAATAAAGCACCGAAGAGTACCTTTTTGAGTTACTAAAGGATAGTGTGAGTGAGACTTGAAGCAAAAGTTTGGCTAAACAGATTAAGGCAAAGGGTATAACGTGATTAACATACTAAAGCCCTCTTCCAAACTTGACTTCTTCAACAGAGAATACATGGGGAAAGGGAGAAACAGAACTAGTGAAAAAATGTGAGTAATCCATTTAAATGAACTCAGAAGTTTGAAAGAAATAAGACTTGTTCAAAATTACAATCTACTAAAGTAAGAATATTAAATGGCAAGGAGATTAGGAACATTTTTTCTGTTGGTAGATCCAGGAGGAGAAAAAGACAATTGTCACTTCTCTTTACTAATGCAAGACCAATATAATTTAAGATCCCAAAATGAAATGTCTGTACCACCCAACTCAGAATTAAATATATTGTTCTGGGAATTGGGACTATTTCATTCACCTGCAAACTAATCATGGCATTATGGTCAAAGTGGGCAGACTCCACAAATCAAAAAGAGTAAACTTTAGTACACTTTTTGATTATGTTGCACCGAGCAATGTTTACTCACTTTCAAAGGGTGCTAACAAATCAAAGGTTAGTATCAAGTAGTATACAAATTTAAACCCCTTGGGACATATGCTAACAATTCTTTAAAGAAAAATTTCTTTTCTCCTTTTCTCCAAAAATGTATGAATTAGGTATTAGAATCAGCTTATTTTGTTCATGCATAGGATCAAAAAATATTTTCACCCATTCAGTAATGACGCATAGACTGAGAGACATTGGGCTTGGAAGAGCTGTTCTTCATCATTATGAGTAGTGAGTGAAATTGGCAGCCTAACTCATGGTGTGATTATGGAGATATCATGAAGGTACCTTCCATCTCCTTCCCTTTTCCTCATTACTCCACAAATACCTCCCTCATCCAGTTAGCTGATACTTAAATTTCAGTTATTGCTTTATCTTTTTTTGGCTTAAAGCACTGTAATATTGGTTAAGAACACAGACTTAAGATTCAGTCAGACATATTCCAATCATATCTGTACCACTTATTAGCTGTTTGGCCTTGGGGAAATTATTTAATCTCTGAGCCCATTTTCCCAAATTTATAAAATGATAGTGGTGCTAATAATGACACCTACCTTATTGGATTATCTCATAGATTAAATAAGATAACATTTAGCACAATGTCAGGAACAGAGCAAGTTTGTAATAAATGTTAACTATTAGTATTATTAAAATTCAACCATCTTCCAGGAAGAGAAAACAATTAGCTTTATACATCATTTTCTGATGAATTTTGTAATTCCTTTCTTCAGAGCAGGTCAAGAGGAGGGGAAAATGCAGAGAGGACGCCAGGTTATATGTATGATGGGAAGAGCACCATCACTCTAGTTGAGGGAAGGGGATGCATGAAGAGCAATACAGAACCTAAGATACACTCTCAGCCGCTCAGGTTTTCCAGGGTCCAGCCCCTCTCCCTTCTGCTTCAGATATTCTCCAGCCACGGAGATAAGTCAGGTTTGTGAGCATTGTTTTTTTTTGGGTAGAACTACAAAATGTCCTCATAATGAAATATTCAAAAATATAGTGAAATATTCAAAACCACATTTTTTAAAAAAAAGTAGTAATGTATTGAAAACTAAATTTAAAAGGAAGGGAAGCTCACAGGTCAACATTTCACTTCTGGCTGAATTTACTCTCTTGCTGAGCCTCCCTGTGACTTCTGTCTTATTTTCTAGGGGAAATGGCATTATCATCAGCAAAGGAAAATACAAACAGTATATTCTCTCTTATTCCATTTGTTTTGCATTTGAAGAGTGATCTTGTTTTACTGTCTCACTTTGGTCCCAGAGACTCTGGACCTAGAGTGAGGAAATGTGAGCACCCAACTGAATGATTAGCATTTCCTTCAGCCTGACTTTAAGACACATCCACTTTGGGAACATCAGACTTTCCCAGTCCTAAGTTTAAAGCTTCACAAGCAGAGCAACTCCTGAAAAATTATCAGGTGGTGAAAGTGGGTATCTGTAATTAACTAGCAATGTGAATTGAGTGAGCTTCTTAAGCACCCTAGGCCTCGCTTGATTTCTTCATATATAGGATGTTAGTAGTTTCTGCAAGAATTGTGGATTAAGTGAAATAATGTCCCTAAAGCTGTTAGTGCAGTACATCCCCTCAAATGATAGCCAATTAGTATTCTTGGTGAATTAACTAACACTTTTGGGTAGCATCATGGTACAATGACAAGAACATGGATTTCAGAGGCAAAACAATCTTAGTTTTGAATTCCAGACTCCTGTGTTACCTTGGGCAGGTTATTTTACCTTCTTGAGTCTCGGTCTGTTCATCCACAAAATGGAAATAATAATACAGACTGCCTGGAACTCTTCTGGGAAATAGATATAATGAAATTATACATGTGAGGAGTCTGGTTTAGGGCAAATGCTGAATAAATATCAGTTCTCCTCCTTTCTGCACAGAACCTAAAAAATGACTCTCTAATGTCTAGGGAAGATTATTCCTTTAGTGGGAAAAGGATTACTCATTTAGAAAATATTCTCCCCAATCCAATAAAGAGTTGGACTTAGGGCAAAATGAGACAGGAAACATACCTGGCAGGTAACATTCTCAGCTAAATGTCACCTCTTCATTGAAGTCTTAATCTTACTAACTTATGTAAGGACATTCTCTTACTATTCTTTCTCTTACCCTTTTTATTATTTTCTTAGAACTTGTTAAAAGTGTTATTTCTATTTGCCTATTTGATAAATAAATAGGTACTCCATAAATATTCCTTAAATGAATGAATCCCACTTATTTCCAAGAAAGTCAAATCAGTATGTAGAGATATGGCAGGTAGTTTCCTTATTTTGTACATTGAAATAATAATCTTCCATTATTCCCCAGATTTATGTCCCTTTGGACATCTTTTCCAGGGTGACAGATACTTCTGAGCAACTACCACTAGTGAAACATAGACTTTGAACTAATTTTAAGGTAGTGGAGAGAGGTTTGTATTGAGCTATTCACACACACACTGCCCATCTTGTGATGAAAGCTATAGCTACACCATAGAGTTGACAATGGTTAGTGTTGGGGTCTGCAGTTCTGGAACATAGCAAAAACTAAAAGGTCAACATGAAAGCTATATCCATAACTTTGATCTTATTAACCTTTTTCCCTCACATTTATTAAGATAACAGAACATACAAAGCATAAAGCCAAGCCTACAGGCACCAAGAAATAACTTCACAATTCCCCTTGCCAGACAAACTCTGGTCTTCAAGGTATAGAATAACATGAGGGACTCTCTACCCCATCAATCACCAGAAGTTGTGGAAAATGAGGCATTACCATTCTAAAATAGTTTTCTGGCCTACTAGGGAATCCTTTGACAAAAACAAACAAACAAACAAACAAACAAACAAAAAGGCCTTGAAAACATCTCCTGTTTTTCTTCCTCCCAGAGCTTAGAGCATCTCTCATCTTATAGCATTTGGGGGACCAGTAAATCTTTTTGAAGAGACTATCTTATGCTACATCTCATCAAAATCATCAGGGCCCATGATCTGATGGATGTTCAAATTGTCTAGCTAACTTGGGAAGCTTAATAATTCAGCTAGTTAACAAGTGAGCACCTACTATGTTACAGACATTGTGCTAGGCACTGTTGAGCAAGACATTTGCTGTCATTGATCTCATGTCTCAGTATTGAGAGATACAGTGCAAAAGAGTAATATTTAAAGAAATCAGGAAAAAGAAAAGGTATTTGTTGGAAAGTACTGCAATGTCTAAGCTTTTTAGTAAGGCTGTCTATTGTTGAAATCATTGACACTAATATAATCCTACAATTGCTCTTAATACTTAAAAAAGTTACATATTTGTTATTTTTATGAGAGTCATTAATTGTTGTGTAGAAGATGCCCGTAAGCTGTTGCTGGATGAATATGTTATAGAGCAAATGTTGGCACAGTGGGAAAACCTTTGGCATGGTATGTGAATAAAGAAGAGCCAGGTTTAAAAAAAAAATAAAAGAATCCAATAAACACAGGCTTGTTCAGTGAATGCTAGAATATTTGAATAGATCCTTAGAAAAGGATTACTTTGCACCAGATAAAAATCAGTCATATGTGGTACTGAGTAGACAAACATATCCAAAAAAGGCTTAGATGTGGGCATGAATGATTGGCCCATATTGAACTATTAAGGGAAAGTTAATGGCTGATGAAGTTTTTCAATTATGTGCTTGATAAGCTCTACAACCTTTGAGATGCCATACATTAAGTGTCAGCAAACTATGGCCCCCACAAGCTAAATCTGGACTACCACTTGTTTTTGGATGACCCATGATCTAAGAATGGCTTTTACATTTTTAAATGGTTGGGGGAGAAAAAGGAAAATGGTATTTCATGACACGTGAAAAATATGTGACATTCAAATTTCAGTATCAGTAAATAAAGATTCAGTGGAACACATCCAAGCTCATTTGTTTATGTATTATCTATGGCTGCTTTCAAACTACAATGGCAGAGTGAATGAGTTGCAACAGATACTGTATTGTCTGCAAAGCCAAAAGTATTTACTATATGACTCTATAGAAAAAACTTGCTGACCCATGCCATGGACCACAGTATCTTTAAAGTTTCACAGATTTGGGTTCAAGTCGTCACTCAGCCTTGAGCAAATTACTTAAGTTTTGTGAGCCTCAATTTTCTTACACAACAGTGGGGATATTAATAGCAAACTCATAGAGCTCATATGAGATGATGAATGTAAAACATTAGCACAGTGCTTTTCATGATTTAAGTATATTCAATAAGTCAAAGGTATTACAAATTAGTCTCCTCTGGGTCTGAGACATAATGCTGAGCTGCACAGGCTATGAAAGAGCCCTAGATGAGAGTTCTGATGTTTTTACTGAGATATCTGACCAAGAAGCTCTAAGCTAAAATCTGGAAAATTAATATTTGCTCTTCTTTACCTTACCCCCAAATTAAACATCAGGAACTTCTTTAGAAGGTTGCTAATCACTTCGATGATCTCCATGAAAGCATATTACTACAATGATAACTTAATTCCTATGAAATGGTGATTATTATGCTAGTCTGGCCAAGAGATGTGCAAATATATTGACTCTAAATTTTAGTTGGCACATTGGCATTGTTAGTTGAAAATCTCCTCAGTCTACCAGATAGGCTAAAATCAGACATCAAAGACCGAGCTGAGAATTCTGTAGCGTTAGATAAAATTAAATGGGTGATGGGTCTCAATATAATAACACTTTCTGCTATATTTAAACATTTCCCCCACCATTATCACCCCCTCTCACAAACCCATACTCTTGAAAGAAAAAGATCAATAAAGACCCTGATCTGTATGTAAGGCATTTGGAAATCACCACTCTAGCCTAAAAACAAGTAAAAAGTTGAACAGACTGAAAAAAAAAGTCAACAACTGTTCTTGGATCCATAAGAAAGGGGCAGACACAGGTTAAACCCCTTCCCCCAAGACTGGAGAGACAGACAGGGGAATGAATAGAGATTTGCAGCTTATAGGAATGGAAACTCACGAGCAGAAATTGCTGTGGGTAGAAAAACCTGAACTATAAATGAGGAATTGCTGGAGGCTCAGTGTGGACAAGTCTGAGAGTTAAAACTCCAGGGGAACCCAGTTAGAGGGGCCCCTATGATATTGTGAAATTTACCTCCAGGAGCTTGAACAGGTTCTCATAGTAAATACTGGAGAAAAATCCCCTTGTGCTTCCAGCAGGGGGAAAGGTAAAGGAACCATTTTGAAATACATCAGAGTACTCTGTTCTTCTTAACAATGCCCACCCTCATGGGAAACTCATTAATTAGAACCTAACCTTCCAGGGTATAAGTAGAGCTTAACCTGGAGGAAGTGAAATGTCCAACTCCAGCCCCCTCAAACTATTCTGTCCCAACTAAAAGGGGAGGGAAAAAAAAAGCAAAGGAAAAATCACATGAAAATATTAATAGATGCAGAGAAAACATTATATCTAAAAAGTCATCACAATCGACAAGGTAATTGACAAAATCCAATACCTATTTGTGAAAAAAACTCTCAGAAAGTATAACTAAATGGAAACTTTCCCAACTTGATAAAGAATACCTACAACAAACATACAGTGAACATCGTACGTAACTAGAAGCTTCTCCATTAAGATCAGGAACAAGGCAAAGATATCCTCTCTTACCTTTCTGCTGGGCTGCACTCCTTGGGCCTGCAAACTTTGTCAGTTGCCCAGTCTTAAGACCAAGCAAAGAGCCTATAGAGAGAAATAAAGATATCAGTGGTTTATTGGACAGAGGATCTTACACATACAAAACAAAGGTCCTGGAGAAACACCCCACCATGGATAGGGGACAGCAGGGAGGACATAACAGCCATCTTTGCTATTCAAAAGGAGAAGGAGGCTACCATTTATAGGAGGAATTAACGTCAGGCTGGTTCATCAGTTACCAGGGAAACCAGCAGCTGAGGCAGGGGGCAAGTAGTAGACCCTTACTAATTAAGCCCTGTAATTAAGAGGATTAAATAGTCATGTGAGAAACAGGGACTGGTTGAGCAGATGTACAAAGAGCAAGGGAACAGTGATCTTGAGTGGAATGATCGTAGACTCCACCCCTACATAACCTGCATGACTCTTACAGTCTTGTCCCTGGGGTCAGGTATGTAGAGGTGCACTGCAACCAAATACCACAAGTACAACGCAGACAACAGCTAAAGAGTCCCAGAAGTGGGCAAACTTTGTGAGCCAGGTGCTTATTGGGTCAGCTTTTCATCAAAATCCAGAGGAGGACAATGATGACATCTCACTGTAAACCCACCAAACTCATTGTTTCCCAGTCCATGAACAGATTCCCTCCACTCAGACTAGGGATAAAATGTAAAATTTTTATAGGCACAATACAGGGAATCTGGTGACCATTAAGCAAAATACAAGCAGCAACAGCATTCTGAGAATACCACTCCTGTCTGTGGTTTTTGTCCTAGCCTGCAGTACCATACTGCTGGTCCACCCTCAGTCCCCACAGCCAGTGTCAAATACTGAAGAGGCACTGTAAAAACAAAGTTAATATAATGGTGCCTTTCTCCAGTAGGGGGCCCGGATTAATTACTTGAGTAGTCTTAGGTGGGGCCAGGTAGAAGGCAGGTGTAATCTATAAATCCCTCTCTAATCCTATTCCCCACAGGGCAGCAAACTCAAACCACCAGGAACTTCCTTGCCAGCCCTAGGGCATTTCATGTTTCCCTGGGGATCGATCCTGTAGCAAGGGCAAAAGTAAGTTATTGTCCTGACTGATAGTAACGATACTTTGGTGGTAAACAGTTGAACTCAGATGGTGTTGACTAGTTGTCTCTGAGTTAACAAGGCATAAGCAGTGGGACATTTGCTCCTGGAATGTTCAGCTATAGTTCTTAGGGCTTGAGTTAGCCTCCTGGTCCACATGTTGAGAGACTGCGTTTCCTGTCTCAATTGTTGTTAAGTCGATTGTTGTTGATTCATCCCCTCACTTAGCCCAGCAGCAGTGGGGTTGTAGGGCAGGTGGAAATGCCAGTGTATGTCATTTTTATTGGCCCATTCCTGAATTTCATAGCCAGTAAAGTGGATTCTTTGGTTGCTATTGATAGCCATGGGGGTCTTGTGTGTCACACACAGCTGTTCCAGACCCCAATCGTGGTTTGTTTGTTTGTTTGTTTTTTTTGCATTGCTCAACGACTTGGATAGGCCTTTTGTAATGTCTTCCACCAGTTGTAACTCACTGTAGCCTGCATATAGCTATTGTTCCATCACACTATATAATTGCTCTGCCTCCTTCCATGACTAGGACCAGAAGCCCAAGGGTATTCTTTTATTATTTTGTAGTTGCCATAAACTCCAAACAAACCCTTCCAAATAACTGGCCACATTCAATTCACAAGCCTGTCTCTAAGTTAATATCCCTAAAGCCTGTGTCTGTAATTGTTTAGGGGTGGCAGATTTGGGATATGCTTTAATTTTGTGCATAATTCAAGTCCTTGTGTTTTGTCTATAGTCACCAGCCATCTTCATGCAGTCAGAGGAACCACAAGCACAGGGCTGATACTTTTAAACTGGAAGGAGACTTTGAGGTCAACAAGATATCATCAATTAATGGAAGAGAAAGATATATATCATGATAGCCAGCTGCCCCAGGTCCCCACATGCTAGTGGACAGCCACCTTGGGATTACCCCCACAACTTTCCACTCCCTGTCCTTATTTCCTGACATTTCAGCACTCCTGGGAGTTTCCTTGGCCTCCTGGCTGCCTCACCAATTGTTGGGCTGCAAGGGTCTGCAAGCCTTGTAGTTGCCCAGACTTTACACTGAGGAAAGAGCCAGGAGACAGTGACAGAGACATCAATGGTTAATTGGCAGGCCATGGCATCAATCTTTGTTATTTGGGGAAGAAAGAAGCTACCATTTGTAAGTGGAATTGATGTCAGGTTGGTCATCACTTACCAGGGAAACCAGCATCTGAGGCAGGAGGCAAGTACATAGTCAGTTACCAATTAAGTCCTCTAATTAAGATGATTGGATAGTCATGTAAAAGAAGCAGGGCCTGGTCAAGCAGGGGATGTCCAGAGAGCAAGAGAACAGCCATCTTGAATAGCCTAACTGTAATACTCCTTTTCAACATCATACAGGAAGTCCTAACTAATGTAATAGGACAAAAAAAAAAAGGAAATAAAGGGTATATAAAATGGGAAAGAAAAATTAATACAGTCTTTTTTGAAAAAGACATAATTGCCTAAGTAGAAAATCTGAAAGAATTAACAGAGAGGCATCTAGAACTAATAAGCAATTATAACCAGGATGGAGGACACAAGGTTAATATGCAAAGTCAATCACTTTCCTATATACCAGCAATGGACAAGTGGAATTTGAAATTTAAAACACAATATCATTTACATTAGAATTCCCCCACATTAAATACTTAGGTATAAACCTCAAAAAATGTACAAGATCTACATGAGAAAAACTACATAAATTTGATAAAAGAAATCAAAGAACTAAATAAATGTAGAGATAGTCCATGTTCATGGATAGAAAGACTCAATATTGTCAAGATGTCTGTTCTTCCAAACTTGATCTGTAGCTTCCATGCATTTTGAATCAAGATCCCAGCAAGTTACTTTGTGAATATTGGTAAATTAATTTTAAAGTGTATGTGGAGAGGCAAAAGATCCATAATAACCAATGCAATATTGAAGGAGAAGAACAAAGTTGGAAGACTGACAATATCAGACTTTAAGTTTTAACATAAAGCTACAGTAATCAAGACAATGTGATATTAGTGAAAGAACAGACAAATAAATCAATGGAACAGAATACAAAGCTTAAAAAAATAAACTCCCATAAATATAGTCAACCAATTCTTGGTAAAGGACTAAGGGCAATACAATAGACCAAAAATAGTCTTTTCAACAAATGGTGCTAGAATAGTTGGACCTCCACACATACAGACAAATGCACTTACTTAGAAAACAGAAAACAGATTCACAGACATAGAAAATAAACTCATGGTTACCAGGGGGAAATGGGGTGGGATGGGATAAATTGGGAGTTCGAGATTTGCAGATACTGACTGGTATATATAAAGTAGATAAACAAGTTTGTACTGTATAGCACAGGGAACTATATTCAATATCTTATAGTAGCTTATGGTGAAAAAGAATATGAAAACAAATACATGTATATTCATGTATGACTGAAGCATTATGCTGTACACCAGAAATTGACACAACCTTGTAAACTGACTATACTTCAATTTTAAAAAAAGTAAAAAAAAGACATGGAAACAACCTTAAATGTCCATTGACAGATGACTGGATAAAGAAGCTTTGGTATATTTATAAAATGGAATACTACTCAGCTGTAAAAAAGAATAAAATAATGCCATTTGCAGCAACACGGTTGGCCCTGGAGATTGTCATTCTATGTAAAGTAAGCCAGAAAGAGAAAAAAAATACCATATGATATCACTTACATGTGAAATTGTAAAAAAAAGAGAGACACAAATGAATTTATTTACAAAACAGAAACAGACTCAAAGGCATAGTAAATAAACTTATGGTTACTTGGGGGAGAAGGGGGTGGGAAGGGATAAATTGGGAGTTCAAGATATGCAGACACTAGCTACTATATATAAAATAGATAAACAGTAGATTTCTTCTGTATAGCACACTATATTCAATATCTTGTAACCTATAATGAAAAAGAATATGAAAAGGAATATATGTATGTATATGTACGACTGAAACATGCCGTACACCAGAAACTGACACAGCATTGTAAACTGACTATATTTCAATTAAAAAATCTATGTCCACACAAAAACCTGCACACAGATGTTTATAGCAACTTTATTCATAATTTCTAAAACTTAAGAGCAACTGAGGTTTCCTTCAGTAGGTGAATGGGCAAATAAATGGTAGTAAATTCAGACAGTGGAACATTATTCAACATTAAAAATAAATGAGATATCAAGCTGTGAAAAGACATAGAGGAACTTTAAGGGCATATTACTAAGAGAAAAAGCCAATCTGAAAGGACTATATACTGTATAATTAATTCCAACTATATGATTTTACCTTTACTAGAAAAGGTAAAAGTTTGTCAATAGTAAGATCAGTGGTTGCAAGTGGTTGGTGACAGAGAGATAAGTAAGTGAAGCACAGAGGAATTTTAGGGCAGTGAAAATACTCTGTATGATACCATAATGATTGATACATTTCATTATAAATTTATCCAAATCCATAGAACATACAACACCAAGAATGAACCCCAATATAAACTATGGACTTCAGCGATTATGATGTGACAGTGTACATTTTTCAACTGTAATAAATACACCACTCCAGTGGGAGATGTTGATAACAGGGGAGACTATACATGTGTAGGGGCAGGGGTCCTGGAAAAACTCTGTACCCTCCCCTCAATTTTGCTATGAACATAAAACTACTCGAAAAATGTAAAGTCTTAATTTAAAAAATCAAGGTCCCACAAAATAATTTAGGCACATAGAGTTGAATAACATATACCTCTTAATAGAATGTGAAAACAAATATATGTATATATACGAATGACTGGGACATTATGCTGTACACAAGAAATTGACACATTGTAACTGACTATACTTCAATAAAAAAATAATAATAACATATACCTCTTTTTTATGTGAAATATACATAATTGCATTATATTTGTTTTAAAATCAGAAGAATTATTGATATACATGAACATTTGTATGCTTATAGTTTGTCATGAACCAAGTAGCATGGAAAAACCATTGATATTTTACAACACAAAGAACAGAAAGGAAAAAATATTGGAATCATCTATTGGAGCAAAAGTGTAGAAAAATGAGAACCCTTGTAAACTGCTGGTAGGAATGTGTTCACTTCCAAACATTTGGAAAGCAATGTGACAATGGTTATTAAAATTTTTAAATACACACAATCTTTGAGACAGAAATTTCAGTTTTATAAATCTACTAGATAATATAAGCATCAGCAAATAAGATATATCTATAATGATATTTATTGAAGGATTATTTATAAAGAAATAAAATCTGAAAATTACATGAAAGTCCACCAATAGGTTGAATAAATTGTGATAGATTTATCCTATGGGATATTACATAGCTATATAAAACAATGGGCTGAATCTTTGCACATTGACCAGGGAGATAGCTATGAAAATTGTTAACTGAAAAAAGCATGTTTCAAGGTAATATATTCAGGAGATTACAATTTTATTTAAAATAGCTTTTGTTGGTCTGGATCAAAATGGTGCAGTAGGAAAAGCCTTACTTAGGTCACCTCCTCCCATGGATGCACCAAAACTACAACTACTTGTAGAACTATGTCTGAGAATGACCTTAAGACAAGCAGAACAGATTTTCTACAGCAAAGGACATAAACAACAACAACAAAAGGCCATATGAAGAAGAGTAAAAGAGGCAGAGATGCAGTCTAGTCAGAACCCACATTTCCAGTACAGCAACCTGAAAGCAGGAGGGATAGCACAATCACAAAGGTCTATTCTAAGTAGCAAGGGGTCTGACCCCCATCTCAGACTCTCCAGCCCAGGGAACTGCATTGGGAAGATAAGGCCCCATAATGTCTGGCTTTGAAAAACAGCCAGGTATATGTCCAGAAGAGCCAGAGGGCTGTGGGAAACAAAGACTCAACTCTTGAAAGGTTCATGTACAAACTCACTCACTCTAAGGCCCAACTGCAGAGGTAGCAGTTTGAAGAGTTCTTGCGTCAAATGAGAAGATTCATTGACTAATTGTCAATGTGTCAGGGCATGTGCTAGAAGAGAAAGGAATCCAGTGGAACTTTCTCTGGGGATGGAAGTGTGAATAGGTGCCATTTAAAAAAAACCTCCTTCCACCTAGTTGGCTCAGCAGTGATGGATTCCATTTCTGTCACTCTCCACCAACCTTGCTTAACACCATGACCCCTCCCCATGGCCCTTCCAAAGCAGCTCTGCCCTGCCCCACCCAGTGGACCACCTTGGCTACTACCAGTGCCCCTCCAAGGTCACTAATACCTCACTTCACTCAACAGGTGGTCTCGCCAGCATCAGTGCTTCACCAAACAAGCTCTCACTCCAGAAGGTCAACTCCATACATCAGCATGCCAACAGTAGTCATGACCAAACCACATAGCCAGCAGTTGGGACCAGCCCCATATGCCAGTACACCCACAGAGGTCTCAGCCAAGATACACAATCAGCCAGTCTGGGAACCAACCCTGCCAACCAGTGCACATTCAGTAATCAGAGCCCAACCATAACACACCTGGAGCACCTGGCTTTGGTGACCGGGGGGACTGTACCACTGGGCCCCACAGGACATCTTCCACATAATATCACTGTTTCAAGATGGTGAGACATAGCTGATATACCTAACACATAGAAACAAGCATGTAGAGTTAGGTAAAATGAATAGACAAAAGAACACCTTCCAAACAAAAGAACAAGACAAAGCCTCATAAAACAGAACTAACTGAAAGAGAGGTAAGCAATTTACCAGGAAAATAGTTCAAGTAATAGTCATAAACATGTTCACCCATCTCAGGAGAAGAATGGATGACTCAGTGAGAACTTCAATGAAGAGATATAAAATATAAAAAGAACCAATTGGGACTGAAGAAAACAATAACTGAAGTGAAAAATACAATAGAAGGAATCAACAGCAGATTAGAGTAAGCAAAAGAGTGGATCAGTGATCTGGTATGCATGGTAGTAGAAATCACCCAATCAGAATAGGAAAAAGAAAAAAAAGACTTTTAAGAAATTAAGATAGTTTAAGGGATCTCTGGAACAATAGCAAGCATACTAATATTCACATTATAAGGGTCCAGTAAGGAAAAGAGAGAAAGAAAGATATAGAAAACCAATCTGAAGAAATAATGGCTGAAAACTTCCCTAACATGGTGAAGAAAACAGAGATCCAAGTCCGGGAAGCACAAAGAGTCTCAAATAAGATGAATACAAAGAGACTCAGATCAAGACAAATTATAATTAAAATGTCAGAAATTAAAAAGATAATACTAAAAACAGCAAGAGAAAAATAAGTATTTACATACAAGGGAACCCCTAGAAGACTACCAGTTGATTTTTCAGCAGAAAATTAACAAGACAGAAGGGATTGGCACAATATATTCAAAGTGCTGAAAGGAAAAAAAAAAAAACCTTACAACCAAGAATACTCTACTCAGCAAAATTGTTCAGAATTGAAGGAGAGATCAGGGGTTTCCCAGATAAGCAAAAGTTAAGGAGTCTATCACCATTAATCTGGCCTTACAAGAAACATTATAGGGACTTATTTAAACAAAAAAGAAAAGAAAAGGCCATATCTAGAAACAAGAAAATTATGAAAGAAAAAATCTCACTGGTAAAGGCAAATGCATTGTGAAAGTAATGGATGAATCACCTATAAAGTTAGAATGAAAGTTAAAAGACAAAAGTAGTAAAATCATCTGTATCTAAAATAATTACTTAAACAATACACAATAATAGAAGATGTAAAGTATGATGTCAAAAACATAAAACATGAGGGTAGAGTAAAAATGTAGTACTTTTAAAATGTGCTAGAACTTTAGCAACCATCAAATTACAGTAGACTGCTATATATATAGATCGTTATATATGAACCTCATGGTAACAACAAACCAAAAATGTATAACAGATATGCAAAAAAAAATAAAAAGAAAGGAAAATAAACATAACACTAAAGAAAGTCAACGAATCACAAGGGAAGAGAATGAGAGAAGAAAGAAACAGAGAACTACAAAAACAAGAAGAAACACAAAAACAACCAGAAAATGGTTAACAAAATGTCAGTAAGTGCATGTCTATCAATGATTACTTTAAATGTAAATAGACTAAATGCCCCAATCAAAAGACATAAGGTGGCTGAATGGATTAAAAAGCAAGACCCGTATATATGCTGCCTAAGAGAAACTCACTTCAGAGCTAAAGACACAAGCATACTGAAAGTGCAAGGATGAAAAAAGATATCCAATGCAAATGGAAACCAAAAAAAAAAAAAAACTGGGGTAGCAATACTCACATCAGACAAAATGGTTCTTAAAACAAAGACTGTAACAAGAGACAAAGAAGGACATTACATAATGATAACATTATCAATCTAACAAGAGGATATAACACTTGTAAATATCTATGCACCCAACATAGGAGCACTGAAATACATAAAGCAAATACAAAAAGAGAAATTTACAGTAATACAATAAAGTTCAAGAAATTTAGCACCCCACTTAAAAAGCATCAAAGAATAGATTGTCCAGACAGAATATCAATAAGGAAACATTGGCCTTGAATGATATATTAGACTAGATAAACTTAATAAATATATATAAAATGTTCCACCCAAAAAAGGAAGAATACACATTCTTTTCAAGTACACATAAGGCCACAAAACAAGTCTCAACAAATTTAAGAATATTGAAATCATATCAAGCAACTTTTCTGACAGTATAAGACTAGAAATCAATTACAAGAAAAAAAAACTATGCAAAACGCACAAATACCTGGAGTCTAAACAGCATGCTACTAAACATCCAATGTGTCATTGAAGAAATCAAAGAGGAAATCAATAAATACCTAGAGACAAATGAAAATGGAAATGCAATGTTCCAAAAGCTATGGGACAGAGAGCAAAAACAATTCTAAGAGGGAAGTTTATGGTGATATAGGCCTACCTCAGGAAATGAGAAAAAATCTCAAATAAATAATCTAAGTTTACATTTAAAGGAACTAGGAAAAAAGAACAAACAAAACCCAAAGTTAATACAAGGAAGGAAATAAAAATATCAGAGTGGAAATAAATAAAATAGAGATTTTAAAAAGCCATAGAAAAGATCAGTGAAACTCTGGGCTGCTTCTTGAAAAGATAAACAAAATTGATAAACCTTTAGCCAGACTCATCAAGAGGAAAAGAGAAAGGTCCCAAATAAATGAAATCAGAAATGAGAAAGGAGAAGTTGTAACAGACATCACAGAAAAACCAAGAGGTAACTATGTCATAAAAGGTAACTATGAACATTATACACTAACAAATTGGACAACCAAGAATAAATAGATAAATTCCTAGAAACATAAAATCTTCTAAGACTGAATCAGGAAGAAATAGAAAATATGAACAGACTGATAACTAGTAATGAAATTGAATCAGTAATTTAAAAGCTCCCCAAAAACAAAAGTCCAGAGACAGATGGCATCACATATCAATTCTACCAAATATTTAAAGAGTTAATACTTGTCCTCAAATTATTCCAAAAAATAAACACGAAGAAATGTCTCCAAACTTGTTCTATGAGGCTAGCATTACCCTGATACAAAAGCCAGAAAAAACATTACAAAAAAAAAGAAAATTATAGGCAAATAGCCCTGATGAACATAGATGCAAAAGTCCTCAACAAATTATTAGCAAAGCAAATTCAACAATACACTAAAAGGATCATACACCATGTTCAAATGGGATTTATTCCAGGGATACAAAGATGTTTCAACATCCAAAATCAATGAACATGATACATCATGTTAACAAACTATGTATAAAAATGATCACCTCAATAGATGCAGAAAAAGCATTTGAAAAAATTCAACATCCATTTATGTTAAAAACTCTCAACAAAATGGGTACAGGGGGAACATCCTTCAACATAGTAAAGGCCATACATATATGGCAAATCCACAGCTAATGTAATACTCAACATGACAAGCTGAAAACTTTTCCTCTAAAATCAGCAACAAATCAAGGATTCATATTTTTGCCAATTTTATTCAACATACTATTTGAGGTCCTAGCCATAGTACTTAGACAAAAGAGAAGATATAAAGCCATCCAAATTGGAAAGGAAGAAGTAAAACTGCCATTATTTGTATATGACATGATACTATATAAGTAAATTCTAAAGACTGCACCAAAAATAAATAAATTCAATAAAGCTGTAGTTACAAAATCAATATACAGAAATCTGCTGCATTTCTATACACTGATAAGAAACTATCATAAAGAGAAAAAACAATCCCATTTACAATTGCATCAAAAAGAATAAAATATCTAGGAATAAATTTAAACCTAAGAGATGAAAGACATGTACTCTGGAAAATATAGGACATTGATGAAAGAAATTGAAAATGACACAAATAAATGTGTCATTTATTTGAAACATTTGTGCTCAAGGATTTTAGGAAGTAATATTTATTTGACACATTTGTGCTCAAGGAATTTAGGAATTAATATTGTTAAAATGTTCATACTATGCAAAGCAATCTACACATTCAATGCAATCTCTATCAAAATCCCAATGGCATTTTTTAGAGAATTGGAATAAACTATCTTAAAATTTGTATGGAATCACAAAAAGCCCTGAATAGCCAATGCGATCTTAAGAAGAAGAACAAAGCTGGAGGTTTTATGTTCCCTGATTTCAAACTTCACTACAAAGCTATAATGATCAAAATGGTATGGTACTGGTACCAAAACAAAAACAAATACATAGATCAATGAAACAGGACAGAGAGCCCAGAAATAAGTCTATGATAATATGATTAATTAATTTATGACAAAGGGGTCATGAATATACAGTGGGGAAAAGACAGTCTCTTCAATAAACAGTGCTGGGAAAACTGGACATCTACATGCAAAAGAATGAAAGTGGACCACTTCCTTATCCCCTATTTAAAAAAAAAGATTAAAGACTTAAATATAAGACCTGAAACTTTAAGACTCCTTGAAAAAGACATAGGCAATGTGCTCGTTGACATCAGTCTTAGCAAGAGTTTTTTGAATCTGTCTCCTTGCAAAGGAAACAAAAGCAAAAATAAACAAATGGGATTATATAAAACTAAAAAGCTTTTGCAGAGCATAGTAAACCATCAATAAAATGAAAAGGCAGCCTATGGAATGGGAGAAAATAGTTGCAAATCATATATCTGCTAAGATGATAATATCAAAAATACATAAAGAACTCATACAACTCAATGTCAAAAAAAATGTAATTAAAGATGGGCAGAAGATCTATATATACATTTTTCCAGAGAAGACATACAGATGGAAAACAGGTACATGAAAATATGCCAAGCATCATAAATCAGGGAAATGCAAATCAAAACCACCATGAGATATCACTTCACACCTGTCAGAATGGCTATTATCAAAAAGACTAGAATTAACAAATGTTGCAAAAGATGAAGGAACCCTTGTCCACTGTTGGTAGGAATGAAAGTTGCTGCAACCACTATGAAAAAGAGTATGGATGTTCTCATAAAATTAAAAATAGAACTACCATATTATCCTTTAACTCCATTTCTGGGCATTTATCACAAGAAAATAAAAACACTAATTAGAAAATACATATGCACCCTTATGTTCATTGCAGCATTATTTACAATAGCCAAGAAATAGAAGCAACCTAAGTGCCTAAGATTTTATATACATATATGTGTGTGTATATATATATATATATATATGTATACATATATATACACACACATACACATGCATATATATACACACACATACATATATATATCTCCTTTATCCCATTATCTTATTTCATTATATATATATATTATATATATAATTCTATGTATATGATAGAATATTAATCAGCCATAAAAAAAGAGTGAAATCTGCCATTTGCAACAACATGGATAGACCTAAAGGGTGTCATGCTAGGTCAGATAAGTCAGTCAGAGAAAGCAAAATACTGTATGATTTCACTTATATGTGGAATCTAAAAAACAGAACAAATGATCAAGCAAAACAAAATAGAAATAGACCCATAGATACAGAGGAAAAAACTGATGGTCCCTAGAAAGGAGGGGGTTGAGGGGTTAGGTGAAATAGGTGAAAAGGATTAAGAAGTACAAACATCCAGTTATAAAATAAGTGTCTCTGGGATGTAATGTACAGCATAGGGAATATAGTCAATAAAACTGTAATAAATTTGTATGGTGACAGATAGTTACTAGACATTGTATATATAAATGTCAAATCACTATGTTGTACACCTGAAACTAATATAATTTTGTAAGTCAACTATACTTCAATAAAAATTAAAAAGAAAAAATAATGTAAAAATAAAATAAAAATAAAATAGCCTTTGTTATGCGTTTGTTTAGATTTGTAAGAGCATGGAGAATTGTGTGATAAGTAGTAAATACAGTGAACTAAAGGAAAGTGAGACTGCAAGTGTGAAGGTAGGACTATTATGCTTTACTTTATACACCTCTATTTCATAGTTGGACTGTTACCCTCTTTTTGCAATGAGGTTTTATTACTTTCATAATTTTAATAAAATATACTTTTTCTCTGGACTTACATTTCCCTGACTACTATGAAGTTGAGCAAGTTTTAATGTATTTATTGATTACTTGTATATCTTCTGTGAGATGCCTATTTATAGCTTCTGCCCATTTTTCTATTGGAGAGGGTTTTTTTCCCTCTATTAGTTTTTAGTAGCTCCTTGTCTGCTAGTGATATTAAGAATTGTTGGCTATATATATTGCAAATACTTTTCCAGGTCAATTGTATTATTTTAGTTTTTATGTGATGAAACCTATCAGTTTTTTCCTGAAGCTCTTAAAACAGTAAGTTAGATCTATATGTTTTAATGTGTATAACATATTAAGTGAAATAAAACGAGTTGCTGAGTGATATGTATAGTATGGTCTTATCTTCTTTTTTAAAAATAGAGGAGAATATATTATGTTTGTGTATCTTTGCATGTATTTGTATGAGCAAATATAAAAGTATGGAAAGATAAAACCAAGACTGTTGAAAAACAGAAACAGACTCATAGACATAGAATACAAACTGTGGTTGCCAGTGGGGAGAGGGGTGGGACTGGACAGACTGGGATTTTGGAATTTGTAGATACTGACAGGCATATGTATAATAGATAAACAAGACTATACTGTATAGCACAGGGAAATATATACAAGATCTTGTGGTAGCTCACAGTGAAAAAAATGTGACAATGAATCTATGTATGCTCATGTATAACTGAAAAATTGTGCTCTACACTAGAATTTGACACAACATTGTAAACTGACTATAACTCAATTAAAAAAAAACACCAAGACTGTTCACACTGATTATCTCAATGGTGTGAGATGGGAGAAGAGGCAATTACTAACTTTTTTCTTTACTCATCCCTATACGACTTGTTACAGCAAGTATGTAATGGTTATTGTACTTTTTTAAACATCCAATAAATGGAAAAAATATTAAAGAATACTATCATGGTGCTTTCAGTATCTTCCTTGG